TTTGCAAGTTGAAAATTATATAATTTCTTATTCTCTAATATAATTTCTCTTATATACAAAGAAAAGTGGAGAATCGAAAATTAAGTCTATTCATTTTACAATTTTCTTTTTTTTTTTTTTTACTATTTAACTTTTACATTTATTATGAATATAAACTATTTTGTTTTACATTTATTATAAATATAAATCATTTTGTTTTATAAACATTGAATTTAAATTATTATTTAAATATAAAAAAATCAAAAGTTAAATAACATAAAATACATAAACAATCATTAACTAAAAAATATACGAATATTTATTCGCTTCAGTTAGGTGTCAAACACTAGGGGTGAGCAAAATATCCGAAATTCGAAATTTTAAATTTAGTTCGGATTTTTTGGATTTTCTGATTGGATCGGATTGAATTTTTAAAAAATTTCGGATTTTCGGATCGGATCGAATCGGTATACTTAAAATCCGAACCAATCCGAAATCCGAAATATAACATTTTAATATATATTTTTTTATTCATATTTAATATTTTATTAGAAAATATTATATTTTAATATAAAAAACTCAAATTTATTAATTATATTTTAATATATTTAATTTTTATATATTATATATATTTAATATTATAAAATAATAATAAAATATAAAAAAAATCTAAAAATTCAAAAAATAATAATAAAAATATTTAGAATTTCGGATTTTTCAGTTTGGTTTGGATTTTTTAGTTCGGATTACGGATTTTCGGATTTCGAATTTCGATATTTCGATTCGGTTCGGATTGATTTTTTCAAAAATTTCGGATTTTCGGATCCGAAAATCCGAATACTCACCCCTAGTCAACACCGTGCTTATTGAATTTCTTATATTGATATCATGTGATCTATATAAATAAGGCTAATTTGTGATTTTACTACATACATTTGAGTAAAAATAATTAATTTTGCTTTTTATATGGACAAGAGCACAAACACTGTAACAAAAAAGTACGAGATAAACTTATAAAAATAATAATGTAATATTTTTTCTAACTATACTATCTTAATATTTACTCTCAGTACTTTTAACTCAATTGTATTTGATTTATTATTATTTAATTTTGATAAATCTTTCAAAATAAGCAAACAAACATAAAGCAAAAATCAAACAAACTGTTCCAAATTTGACTACTTTAAAAGTATAATGAAAAAAATATATATATTAATACTGAAATTTCATAAAAGCATAATGATTATTTTATAAGATCACCACAATAATATTCAGATAGCACACGCAATAATAATTTTAAAAAACACAATAATATTTTTGAAAAAATAACAATAACAATAATAAAAAAATATTGAAATAAAACTCTGTAAATGTTCCCGAGGTAGTAATAGTTAGTGGAGCATCATTATATTTATAGAAAAAAATATACAATAACAATAATAGTTTGAAAAATAGTCAAAACACATTAAGGGTGTGTTGGTTTGGAGGATTGAATTGAATTTGCAGTATTCATTCAATTTTTTTTCCCCAAAAACATCAAATCAAATATCTATTTTTTATTTTTTATATTATACTAAAAATCAATTTTACATTCAAAACATCACATCAACACCTATTTATATCACATCATACAACTATTCAAATTCAAAATTTTTACTATTTAAATCCCAACTCAAAATCCAAACCCCAAACAAACACCTGAAATATTTTAAAAGCATAATATTCATTACGAAAGAGCATACCAATAATATTTAAAAAGCACATAAATTACTTTAAAAAAAAACACTAATAATTTAAAAAATAGCACAATAATAATAATTAGGAAAAAATTCAATTTTGATCTCAATATAATTAAAATTTATCAATTTTAGTCCCAATATAAACAATTTTAATCAATTTTTGTCCTATTATAAATAATTTCAATCAATTTTGGTCCCACCGTTAAAAAAAATTAACGGAAATTGCTGACGTGGATATAACGGATGTGACATGGCAGTTGACCTAGAAAGTACACAACCATGTACAATTTTACCATTTTCTTTAATCTTCACGGTTTGATTAAAAAGTAGTCCTATAGATTACAATTTTATTAGCACGGTATAAGCTCCCATATTTATTTGTTGAAATATTTCTTTTCACTGCAATTATTTTTCTGATATATTATTTCTTCAAAATTGATTCATCTAACATTTATATTTGTCTATTCTCTCTTTCATCAAAAGAATGTAAGATTTTATTTTATTTTTTGATAATTTTTTTTTTCCCCCACAATTTCATTATCTATTCTCCATTTTCTATAATTTTATTTTATTTTTTTATTTTTATTTTTTTTAATCCAAACTACCAATCCAACTCACTTCCAACCAATCCACTTAAACAAAACCCAAGCAATCTAAATAAAAATCCACGTAAACCTATGCCAAGTTCTTCCTCCAAAGCATTTCCATTAATTAGGTTAGTTTGTAGTTGTTTGCTTTGGCTTAATTCATGGTGTATTTCGTTGCTTCCTACCATAGTTAGAGATATATAATTCTTTATTTGTTTTTTTTTTTTTTTTAAAAAAAAAATTTATTTTATTTATGTCTCTCTCGTCTTTCATTTATTATGTATGTGGTGTGAATTTGCATAAAGTTTTGTTAATATATAATTTCCTCTAAGTGATGTCGATCAATATAACTTATGAAGTCTAATTTCAATACTATAATTTATGTTTAAGGTATATTGTTTGTTAAGTCCCATAAGTAAATAGGGAGGGGTGTTAAAAATGAATGCAACAACTTTCTCTTCCCATCGTTGGCGTTGGATAATATTCGCATAAGCCTTTGCCAATTTTTCATCCTCAACTATCCCGGCATCCACTTCATTGAGCCCGTCTTTCCTCCACCAATAGCAATCGATATTTTACAATTGCTTAGCAATCAGTATTCTAATAGTGTGATGGTAGGAAACAGGCTGAATATTTTAAGGAGATGCTTTCAAAAATTCGGGATAATATTGCAAAGTCCAATGTTTAGTATGCTAAAAGTGCTAACAAAAGTCATAAGCATCTAGTGTCCCAACCAGGTGATTGGGTGTGGTTACACTTGAGAAAAAGTATTTTTCCCAAACAACGAAAGTCTAACCTGAGCACAAGAGGAAATGGATCGTTTCAAGGTGTGGAACGCATCAATTATAATGTCTATTGTATTGAGCTACCAGGTGAGTATGTACATTTTGAAAGGTATATACATTAAGTATTTATGTATGTGTATTGAATAAAAATAAACCTGTATTGAATGGTTTCTTTGCTCCTTTTTAGACATCCTATTTTCTTAAAGACGTATTCTCTTGCATGTCCTTTTTTAGATATGGATACAGACTGTAGGATTATACTACATCAATAACAAATTGTTCTATTTTTTTTGTAAGACCGATATCTTGAAATTATAAAAGTTATATTACAATTATTTATTTTGTACTAAAATCAATTATTACATATATCTCATTGGCATTTATTATCTTTGTCACTCAATTTTTATTTTTTTTTCTTGAATTAGGCTATAGATGAATTATAATATCTAATACTCTATTGTATATATTTTATTTTGATATACATGAAGACTAAGAGCGATAGGAATCAGATGTCCAATGTCACTACGGTTGAGGCTGCATGTTCCAGTCATGCAGCCTCAACGGTTAAGTTACATTCTTGGTCTTGGGCCGTTAGAGAGTATTATATTAGGTGATTATTACTCAAACTATTATTTATCAAACCTAAACAATGAGAGTCCTTTTACCCCAATAATGTCATGAATAGCTTATGTTGCATAATAATAGTTGGTTACAAGAAACAGAAGAAACACATGAAAGCTTTTCATTCGTATTTTTTGTTGAATGTTTTCAAAGTCTAGACTGTAGTAGTTCCTACAATAAGCTAAGTATCATATCATCTTGTTTCGAACTAATAACATCACACGATGCCAAAGTTTCATACTTAATAATGAGAATGCGAGAAAGGATGACGTTGTGTTATTGATTTTCTCTAACAATTTAGAATATTTGCAAAACTTCGATTGCATTTTGTTCAAGTTGATAGTATGCTGATGCGTAAGTAAGTCTTCACATAATAACTGATATCCATAATTTCAAGGATAATTATTATGTATTTTCAAACTGTTGTATATTATGTTAAAAATACAAATTTAAAAGATATAGATTGTTGAAATATTATGAAATTCTATTGTCATTCCATATCTTCCATACAACAAAAATAAATTAGACTTATAGAATAATAAATAGTTAAAATAACTAAAAAATGGACAAAATTCAAAACCTTAATCTAATCCCATATTCTTTTCGAAATTTCAATCCATTGTTTTGCAAAATAGGCCAAAACAATTTTTTAAAAAAAGGAAAGAAATGAATTAAAAAGATAAAACAATTTGAATTATTCAAGAATTATCAAAAAAGAAATTACAATTTCAAGCAAATATCTCAAAATCAATAAAAATATTATGTTAAGACAAAAAAAAAATAAAAAAAAATTATAGTATTAAAATCATTAAAAGATTGTAAATACCGGAAAACTTAAAAGAAACTCTTTTTTAAAAAATAATATAAAAAGTCTTAGACAAATGAATTTTATGAATTTTACTCTTAATTTTGCACAAAAAATAAAGATCGATTTTTGAAAATACAAATTGAAATAAAGAGATGGTCAACAAGACAAATGGATTTTTTAGAGCATCGAACAATGGGTCTGTTTGAATAATTTGAAGATCTCGAGTAACTGGCCGTCGGAATTATCGGTCTAATTTTGCATATTTAAAGAAAACGGATAGAGAATTGAATAAATTGAGAATTAAGAATAAAAAAAATAAAAAAAGGGAACTGAACTTTAAAAAATTATAAATAATGATCGAGCTTAAATTTTATTTTTTTATTTTTTTTTGTAAAAATAAGGATTTTTAGTCCAATTATCTCTTTTCATATAAAAAGTTCTTTTACATAAAAATAAATAAATAAATAAAACAAAACAAAAACAAAGAAGGTGGAAGTGGAACCTGGCCTGGCAATGTCGAATTCAACTGCGAATTGAGGAAACCCAAAATTTAAAGTCGTGTGTGGTCTCCAATTCCCTTTTGCGTTTATATGGGAAAATCGATCCCATCCGCTCCCAGATTGCAACAATTCGCTCGCGATATCGCCTCCGCCAGCAGCCGTTCCCGCTCCCGCCGTCAGTTGAAGGCTGCCGCGTCGAAGCCGTCCCGACCCATCTCTTGCCCAGACTGCACTGGATCTGGACCCGACCCTCACCAGAGTAGAAGGCTGAACATGGAGCCGGCGGAGAACTCGGAACACCGGCGGAGGGTACCGCTTGCTGAAGTAGTGGCGGATTGCGTCCGGCGATGGTTTCAGGATACGCTCAAGGAAGCCAAGAATGGTGATACGACAATGCAGGTGCTCGTCGGTCAGATGTATTATAGTGGATATGGCGTCGCCAAGGATCCGCAGAAGGTTTAATTAATTCTTTATTTCTTTGTTTTATATTTGTATGTCTGCAATTGTTGTTGTTTTAGGATATGAAGTAGTTTCATTAGGGGTGCTTATGCCATAGTGTAGTGGGAAAACTCAAATTAGGTTTCAGCCTCGAATATTCACACCTTCAAATCATGATATTATAGTTTAGTGGTTAGGCTCAATGGCTTAGGTTTTAGTAAAATGAGGTCCATTTGAATTCATTTCATTAAGTATGTATTATTTCCCCCTAGCTGTAATTCCGTATGGAGTGTCAAGTTTATGAATCAAGAAAGCAGTTGGAGCATCCACATTTTGTGATAATAGAATACTATTATGGAACTGGTTTAATTTCTTGTGACTTTTGGTTTTAGGGTAGAGCATGGATTAGCAAAGCATCAAAGATTCGGTCTTCGGTATGGAAAGTTGGCGATAAGCGTCCAGGTATTTGATCTTTTGTTTTATATCCACTTCATTTGGTGGCCCATCTACTTTAACCCCTGAATTGTTTGTGGTTGTGTCCAAAAGGTTATAATGCTAGTGATTCAGATTCGGATGATGTAGAGGAAGACACCAAATAAGATAGGATGTGCCAACTCGGTTTACGTCTGTAACCAATGACAAAGTAAGTAGCGTACTCGAAAGACTTTAAGTTAATGGAGTTAAATGATTCTTGTTTGCTGAAAGATATTACAGTCTATCTTACTAATTGCTTTGCTTTTGATTTTTGGATATATAAAAGAAAATGATATGAGGTATTCAGCTGTTTAGCTGTTTACTTTGTTTCTATCGAAAAAGAAAGTGAACTTCCATTGGGTGTGAATGAATCGATTTATTTTGTTCAGATTTGATCTCCACAAATTATGCGAATACATCTCTGAAATATAGAAAGCCTAATTGAGTATTGAATAATGCTTTTATATAGGCTTCGTTTAAATATTATAGTAATTGTTAAGGTTGTACACTAAATTGAATCTGGCCTCCATGGAAACCTATTAGTTTCTTCTGCGAATAAATGTATTCATGTTGTAGAGGAATGGCGGTCATTCTACTGAGGTCTTCCTGCTAGAGCTGTCGTCTTGTACAATTTAATTGATATTGCTGTGAGGAGCCATGCTCATCAAGACTCTAACTTACAAGAGTCGATCTTTTTGCACACATTGACACAGTTGAAAGAGTTATGCTTACAGGTTTTGTAATTAATGTTAGCACCAATGTAATTTGATGGGAATTATATTATTTGTCTGTCGGTAAGTCCGTGTCTGGCATTGGAAATGAAGATTTGTGTTTGGACTGATATCCATGTGACCTTAAGGTCTTCCAAAATGGGGTTGACGGCATATCCTGTTTTGGGGTCTGGATGACAATGTTTGTGGGTAAAATGAAATGCGATTTGTTTTTTTTTTTTTTTTTGTTTCTGAAGAATTTTGATGCTATACTATCTATCTATACATTTACTCGGCTGATTTTTCAACAGTTTCTATCAAGAAATATATAAGATTAGTCGATAGGTTAAAGGATCTTCTGAATTGCATGCATCTATATCGACTATCTGGCTTGATCTTTTTGTTCTCTCATGTCATGTACAAATACATTCTGGAATTAGTCTCGGCTTATTCAGCTTTCCATTCCATTATTACACTTACACATTCTGCTGCCTATGTGTGTACTAACTAAACTAAAACATTGTCTTGTGCAGTTATTTGTGTGAATTGCCGATGGAATTCGCTGCTGCTGCTGCTGCTGCTGCCTTCTCTGTAACACACCTTGAATGAGATATGATCAAATCGAAAGACAAGTCGTTTTCTTGTCGAAATATTGTTTTCCAGGTAATGTATTAATGTACCAACTCCTCAAGAATGATAATCATTTTACAGGCAGGCTTTCATGAAATTATAATCACTTAGAAAAGCCCATTAAATATTAATGAAGCCAATCAAGACAACCTAGCTAGGATCACTGTCTGAATAGAGGTTAGACCTTCATCTGCCTTCACGTCTGTCCTTTCTCCACTCCCACGGCATCTCCGGGTTCTTGGATGCCCACAACCCTACACGTCTCGCCCGCGCCTGCTTCTCCCACTGTGCGTATTTTGCAAAACTTATGTTGGCTCGACGAGTCTGGTTATTACAGTATATGAATTTGGTAATAATGGAATGTAACAACAACCTTGTCCAGCTCTGGCCGGTTGTCGTAAGCTTTGTAGTGCCACGCCATCCCCTTCTTCAGCATCACTTCCTACGAGTTCAAACACCGATTGAGTTTTGTTGTAATGACTCGAGTTTTGCACTGTTGTCTGATTGTAGTGACAAAATACCTGTACGAATACCCCATTGCAATAAACATCTCCCACGCATCGATGGTAGCGATCCTCATCAAACACAAGAACTCTTAAGCACCTATCCTGCACGATTTTCACTAGTTCTTCCTTTGCCTCCTCCCCATACGGCATTTTGCTCTCGGGCGCATCGATCCCCCTGCAAAAACTAAGATCACTGTTATTACCCCCTGAAATTCGACAAATTCGATGATTTTCTTTCTAGCTGTTAAGGTTCCTACAACCTTAGTCTTATGCGATACTTTCTGGCAAGAACATCCTCGTTCTGCAGTGTTATCACCCTGCGGGACATAATTCAATTCACAATCAACAATAAAGCGCATCTATCACACACAATGTCGCAATCAGCAACCTATATCCTGAATCGATGATGTCTCTATGAAGTTTGTCGGCGACACTGTAATCCCTGCGAGAACGCGCTTGCGCCCTTTGAGAAGCTGCAATGTGAACCTCTCTTGGAACCAACGACGACTCCCTAGGATCACTTGTGCTAACGTATACCGTAATCGTGTCTCCATCTGCCACAGCCCTTGGATCGACCTATACACAAACCTCATCATATATATATATATATATGTAATGAAAACACTTTTACAATTCGAAAATGAAAATGTCATTATATGTTTTCCTACAGGGAGAGTATGCAATTCGAATTTCAATCCATGTGGCTGCAATGGAACAGCTCCATCAGTGAGATCAACCAAGGTATGGGGCAAAGGAAGGCCATAGTACGCCAATAAACCCTACAAAACAAACCAAGTCAATATTTAAAGAGTAGTATTCTGGTTTTACCACATATTTTTACTAATTAGGGTGTGTTTGTTTGAAGGATATGTGTGGATTTCTACTATTCACACAAATTTTTCCCCTCCCAAAACATCAAATCAAATACATATTTTTCATTTTTTATATTATACTAAAAATCAATTTTACATTCAAAATATCACATCAATACATATTTATATCACATCATACAACTATTCAAATTCAAATTTTTTACTATTCAAATCTCAATCCAAAATTCAAACCCCCAAACAAACACACCCGTGGAAGATCTATTTTCTCTCAAAAAATATCAAATCAAACAATTATTTTCCTTTTCCATACTTCCTCCCTCCCATGACAAAATATCCATTTTATTTTTTAAATAACTGTATCATCTACCTAATATTACAAATACTCTTCCAATTTACAATATATTACACAAATGTCGTTACTTTTATATCATACAATACTAATAATGTTAGTTAAGTCTTTTTATCTTAATTTTTACTATATCCCAATATAATACTAATATTTCTAAAATTTTGTGCATAAAGCAAATGGATAGATAGATATAGGACGGAGGGAGTATTATACTACAAATTTATTTTACATTCAAAACATCACATCAATATCTATTTATATCACATCAAACAACATAATTCAAATTCAAACTTTTTACTATTAAAAAATCCAAACCCAAAAACCCGAACCCACGAACAAACACACACTAGGATTACTTATTTAGCATCATTCTTAGTTGATAAATAGGAGATTAATACAAGAATAAGGTTGTAATAGTTGGTTAATTAGTAAGTAAATGAATATGCAACCGACCTCAACATCTTCCTTCTTGTGTCTCTTCAATGTCTGAATTACAAGCCTTGAAGCTTCTTCTGGAGTTTTTGGTGGTGGCTTCGTCTCCCTCCACGCCTCACTTAGTTTCTGATACCTGCAAAAATTCCAATTTAGTCAATGCTTAAACCTAGCAAAGTTAATTCATCAATTTATTTTTAACTATATATATATATTAAGTCGAATAGCTAGACGACACCAATTAGACTGAGCTTTTCTGGACGAGACGACATGGCCACTGAGCTCCCGAGGAACCTGTAAGAAACGAATTCATAAAAGTGAATAGATCGAAGCAATAAATAGATTAAAGTGAGCAGATCAGAATGGATCATATATATGGTTGAATTTAATAATTAAGGAAAGAATTAAGGGATTACCTGATGGGTGATTTCGAAGCTGTAGAGATCATGGGCGAGGGCGGAGACGGCGGAGGCGCCGTGATCGGAGTCGGCTTCGGGTTTGCAGCATTTGCCCAACAGAAATCGCAAAGCGTTCCCCATTTTAATTAATTAATTTATCTATGGGTTTTGGGTTGGGTTTCTATGGGGTTTCTTGACGATCTACAGATTGAAAGGATATTTCGTTTCGATTCGTAACGAGTGTTGTTGTGTTGGGGAATTTCCAAGAGTTGGTTTTGGGTTCCTTGTTCCTGAATCTTACTGCCTGCGATTCATTATCGTTCCTACGGCTTTGAAATTAGAGAGGAGAAGATGACCAAGCTATTGGACACGTGGCGTGTGGCAATTGGTCACAATTCTTCTGTTGTTTTTATTTTTATTTATTATTATTATTATTATTGTTACATTCAGTGAAAACAGTCGTCTGAACAGACCATATGGAGTCTAACGGTTCTATGGTCTGCAACGAGGAGTCACGTGCGCATCTATCTGGCACTGCGATTTTCAGCGCAAAGCTATTTAATTAATAGCTTTTGGATTTAAAAAATTGTACAATTGAATAAAAATTTGTTCGCCTAGTTTTTATTTGGGATTCAGTCACTATTTATAAATTGTTTATTTTCACTCTTATTTTTCATTATTCATCGTTCTTGTTCTCTACCAATTGATTCTTCTCTCATTTTTCTAGGTTTTTTTGTGCAAAGTTTTTCCTAAATCCATTGAATCCTCTTCCATGAGATCGGAAGCAATCTCCCGTCCCATTGCCCAACTCACTGTCCTGTCAGTTTGCTGTTTTTTCTCTCACTATCAGACCCATTCGTTATCTCTTCTCCCACTGTATGGTTGGTTCGCTGTCCATTCTCCCCACTGTACGGTCGGTTCTCTGTCATCGGCAGTCGCGCGATTCGATATGAGAACTCCCGAGTACTGTCACTGGCGATCTCCAAATCGATATTGTCGTCCAGTTGGCCCATGTTTGTGGTCACCGTCCTTGGATCCTCTTCGTTAGTGGCCGGTCGTCTTTGTTATCCGGTAAAGTTAGAGTCGAATATTTGCAATTTGCAATATAGTATTTGTATCATTAGCATTTGAGTTAGTAAAAAAATTGTTATTTTGAAAAAATGTTATTGCGTGTTAAACAATTAGGAATTTATACATGAAATATGAACTTTGTGAAGTGGGTAATTTTTTTTGGGTGATTTCGATAATGAATTTCATTGCTATTTTACAAAAATAGGTCGTCATTGTTATATTGTGAATTGGGTAATTTGTTGTTATGGAGGATTACTAAATTACTTGAATTCCATAAGAACATATGATTTTAGTAAGATTGTGATGCTATTTGTTTATGAATGAAGTATTATAACTTTAAGTAAAAGAATTTATCTATTCTTTTGGATTCAAATAGTTTATTTTGTTTTGAATTCATATTATGTGTATATTAGTCAAATAAATATTTGAATGATGGACTTTATGTGTTCGATCAAATATCCCAAAAAAAAGTTTGTCTTAATAAATTATTGTTCAGAGTGTTGGATTGTTATTTCTCTTTTAAAATATATATGTTATTTGATGATTCCAACCAACCACTATACACTAATGCCATAATATTTTATCGATTATCATGTTTGATTGATTGTGAGTTTTTAATTTTGTGTTGATTGTTTAAACTAAATCATGTTCTTTGTGTGTGAAATGTATTGGTTTTATATAGGTTTATAGTATATAGAATTTGCAAGACTGAAAATACTTTTGGAGCTTTTAAGTTGAACAATGTAATATAAAATAAAGATGTGCCAGCAAACATTCATATTCTAAACTTAGTCATTTACAATTTGTGTAATGATGAAATTATCGATGTAGTCTTCAAAAAATTTTATGATATGCCTATTAGTTATGCCTTTTCAAATATTTTCACCTACAATTATTTGATTTCTGGATTATGTGAGTTAATGTTTAAAGTTCTTATCCGCATTAGAGTATAATGGTATATCTTATTATAATTACTACAATATTGTAATGATTGGATCGTGCATATAGAATAATTTTGATGGTCTGTGCTATGTTTAACAATCTTAATTATAAAAGCTTGCAGCGATATATTATATCATATTTATACAAAGATATGACAATCATAAATTGTTCAAGAAAGCCGAAATTCTTTATTCAAAAATAGAGTAAGACAAATTTATTCTAAATTTTATCGTCTATGATATTATTATCTATTGTGGCATGTATCTTGAGAAGATGTCATAATTTCTAGTAATTCTCAATGAATCTTCTTTCTATTATCAAAAATGATTTTACCTTAGTCTTGCTTGAGTCTTCATATTTGGATTGCAGGGCGGATTAGTTGAAACAAAATCGATATACTGATTTGTACTAATTAGAAAATCAAATGGAAAAAAGTCATTTTCATTTGTTGCACTGAGGTCACTTGATCCAGCAACAAGAGCCTGGTTGTAGGTGAATATACAACAAGAAGAGCCTAGTTGTATAGAATTACAATTGTAACATAGATGTACTATAGTATATAAATACGAACAAAAAGGTACATGACAATCTTGTTTTATGTATGATAATTTGATGACATAGGTTTTTAGAAATTTAACTGAGGCACACAAATTATTTGGCAAGTATGTAGTTGATGTGTCAAAGCACGTTGGTGTGATAGTGTATTACTACCCTATCAATTTCAATATAGCCTTGATAATTAATTATGAAAATAAGAGAAAATACTTGTCATATTGTTGTATCCCTTAGACCTATATGCAGATTATTATAAATTTTTATTTTATTTGGGAATTTATCACCCATACTTTTGGTCATTCTGTAAATCCTCACAAGCATTAATCGGAAGTATGTAGGTATCTAAAAACGGAGTTCATGTACATATGTTGGGAAGAAATAGTAGATTCGAATAAAGATGGGGTACATCAGAGGCATGGTAGAGTACTTGTTTGTTAAACCAAATTATCGTTTTATAAAATGTTATAAAATAATTTTTACTTAAGTCTGTACATGTTAGATAGGTTGTATTGCAAGACCATAAAGTATGTAACACTATTCGTATTAAAAATTTGCTTTAATTTTTTTAATTAATTTAAAATTTTAAATATTAAAAAGTTACTTTAAGATTTTTTAATTAATTTAAATATTAAAATTATAAATTTTCTACACATTAGATTAATTAAATATTCTCTTCGTCTTGACTAATTATTACTCTAACAACTTAATATAATTTAATTTAGTTATTTATGACTTGTTTATACATCTACAAGTGGAGGTTGGACTATAATTGTACATATATCATACAAATCATTTCTGACTTATTTATCCATCTATAGTAAATATATTGTTGTTTATCTTCTCGTACAATTCAGAGTGTCATGGGAACACTATCAAGATAAATTCATCAATTGTTACCGATAATAAGTGGATATTTTGAATTGAAAATGGTCGATTTTCCAAGCACAAATAACCACGACATATGTACTCGTTATTGAAGCATATGACTCCAAAATGTATATAAGATATGCGCGAGGATATGTATGCATTTGATGCAAGTATGTAAGTATGTGCTTCAGATACAAATACTGACATTCAAGGTATGAATGATAGTTATTTAGGTATTATATGTGTAGCAGCATGTATCCTTGCATGTAGCGGGTATCCTTTAATATAATTAATCTAAGTCAATCCTCTGACGGAGAAGTCAATTCACGAACTCGATGAGAGTATATGGCTACAGATTCATTACCTGCCAAGCCTTATGAATACAATCTGTAATGTTGTCATTTGAATCTTCTAGTAAAAGAACCAATAAAGATATGCATGGAAAATGTCTCGGCAATTAATTTTGCCAATAATCCAATTACTCATTAAAAAAGCAAGCATATTGATTTGCGTTTTCATTTATTGAGAGATCAAGTCAAAAAGAAGATAATTGAATTGGAATATTGTAAGTCTAAATAACAATTACAGATATATTTACCAAGTCCTTGAAGTGAGAGACATTTATCAAATAGAAAAACTTGGTTAGAGGGACTACTTTTCTAAATTAAAATTAAAAAAGAATATTGATTACGTAATTCTATTTGAAATAAAACAGTAATATTAATTATAGGACAACCACCGTCGTACTTCCTTCTTTCTAGGATAAGTCATAGACTAATTATGTATTTTGGTATTTTTATGCATTTTAGAACCAAAGCACCCGGTCTCTTCGAAAAATATGTTCATCAATTTCAATTATAACATATGAAAATTTCTACATTTTTAATGAATCCAACAAATATCCATAATAAAAATTAAAGACCCGAAATATTTCTGAAAATTTAAAAAAACATAAGGATACAGACAGTCCTCAAACAAAACACAAGACTGCAAATCACAACAGCCTTAAACAGAACAAATTAACTCACCATAACAATATTCTTGAGAAGACCAGACAATATATATATATATATAATTGTATGGAACTATCATATCGATCAACCAAATTAAACACAACAATGCAATTATATAGATAGATAGATATATCAATTGACCCTTCTGCAGTTTCTCCTGACCTCGCCGTTGGAGCCGGTGAGGGGCTGGATATCGCCCATCTTAATCATCGCGGCAACAAAATCCGACGCGAAAGAATTTGGGCTCGAGCTATATGTCCTAACAATGGAGTCGGTGGCGCCCCCGCCGTTGAAGAGCTGCTGGTCCGAGTGGAGCAAACCGCGCTGCCCGACAAGGTTCTTGAAGTAGCTGTTGTCGAACCTCGTGGGTGTCTGAAAATCCAACGGCGCCAAGTTGTTGTCGCCCGAGCCAGCTGCCCGGGGGCAGTTCCCCTGCCGTGCCCGGGCTAGGGAGCTGTCCAGATTGCTGGTCTCGTTGTATATCCGCGCCCTGAAGCTCGTGCATCGTGCTTGCCCGATGGTGTGGGAGCCGGAGAGGGCGACTAAGTCGGTGGTTGATAGGCCGAGGGCATTGAATCGGGAAATGAGGGCATTTAGATTTGAAGTTGGGGGAGGGATGCCATTGTTTGCAGCAGATCTGCTGGCTGTTGTTGAGTCTCTTCGGCCTAGTTTTACGTCCCAGCTCGGCCCTCCGAGCAAGGCAGTTGAGTCGCGGGCAGCAATGGCTACGATGTCGGCGCAGGACACGACTCCCGGACACACCCGTTCCACGGCGGACTTGATGTTGTCGATCACGTCGAATCCCCTTGCGGAGTTGCGGTTGGGAATCGCCGTCTTCTCTCCGGTGAAGGACGACGTGTCGTCGAGGAGAATCGATCCGTCGCATCCCTGAAATTAATTAATTAGGGTTTGTTTCTTTACACTTCAAACCTCAGATTTCTACTATTTAGACTCTGCGTTTCCCGAAAAAAATATATTTTTCCTCTCACAAAACATCTCACCATATATTACTTTAATATAAAAACAAAACCAGATTTATTTCAAACTCATAAAGGAATGAGGTACCGTTCAGCCAGGATGGGAGCTTTAATCTTTGTTGCTAATGGGCTAGCTAATGTACATGAACAGATACTACCTCCAGGCTCTAACAATCTCATTTAATTTACTTTTTGTGTGTTGATTTTAAAAATTAATTATTATATATACTTCTATTATTTTTCTATAATATTGATAGAATAGAAGGATATTTATACCAAAAAAAAAAAAAATTATACAAATATACTAATATTTTTAATATTAAATATAATTACACAAAAGGTAAATATGACTTTAGAAGCGGACGAAAAGAGTATATATATATATAATCTGTCACCGGTAAAAAAATTTTGGCGGGGCCAAATGTTTTTTTATATATAAATAATATATAATAATTTTAAAATAATATAATAAAAAAATTTAAAAAATTATAAACAAATTTTTAGTTTGTTTTGTCCGGTTTATTTTTTATTTTTTACATATTTTTAAATATTTGAAATATTTGAATCAATTTTTTAAATATTCAAGTTAAATATAAATAATAATAATTCTTTTTTAAAAAAATTTATGGCGGTGACTAATTACTTAAACTTTAAAAATTATACAAATATTATATAATAAAAATACAAAACTCAAAATAATTAGGGAGGCCGAACACCCTTCGGCGCTCCTACTGCTCCGCCACTGTATATAATGCAAACATAAACATACTATATGTTGTTTGTTCGACTAACTTGAATTAATGGCTACCTATACGAGTACTCTAGTGACCCAGTAAATAATTCGGATAGCACATAACTTAATAATACATAATATAGTTTCATACAGTACATAAAATATGTGATATCAGCACAACTATGTTTCTGTATTTTACATGTGCTGATTTGAAAAATCCGTACCGTGTTAATTTTCCGAATACAATACCGTAACTTTTTCCTAATAAAAAACGTAAGAAAATAATTAATTAAATTAAAGATAAGAAGGACGTAGTAGTCGAATAATTAAGTTTACATCAACGAAGCAGTCGTGGAAGAAGAGGCGAACGAGGGAGGCGCCCATACGGGCCTCATTCCGAATGGCGGACTGGACAACGGACCTCACTGTCGAAAAGAGATGCGGGCATGATCGCGAATAAAACCCGCTCGAGAGCTGCCCCGACGACGGAGACCCTATAACAAGCAGGGCTGCCAAAGTTATTAGGACAGCTCTACAGAAGCAGTAATAATAATTATTACGAGATATTGATGAAGACATCTTAGATTAGTAGAATTGTAAGTGTAATGTTTTGGTGCAGACAGCAAAGGCTCCCTCGAGTATATATAGACAAGATTTGTTGACACTGTATATGTTTTTTTCTTTCTGGGCAGCTTACCTAACAGATAGACAACATTGCACTATATCAATTAATGGTTGGGACAAGTGACCACGTAAACTTTTGGATATCATGAGAAAGAAAAAAATAATAATAAGAACATTCTCTAATTAGTTACTCGGTCTCATATTGTTTTAGGTAGAATTGCTAATAATATTCGAGAGGTTTCAAAATTTAGTATAAAATAGTACGGCGTCTTTTTATATTTTAAAAACTATTGTATGAAATCAGAGACGGAACTAAATAAGGCTAGGGGCAGTTTGACTTCGACCCCTAAAATATAAGATTTTTCTTTTAGTGTAAAAAATAATAAAATTATGTATTCTTTTATTATTTTGCCCCCCTATTTTTCAATTTTTTTATGTTATAGTATAAAAAATAATAAAATTTTTGTAGTTTTGTTGATTTATAATTTTAGTTTTTAATTTTTTTTAATAGAAATGATTGAATTTTATTAAATTTTCTTAAATATTTCTCTAAAAATTTAATTTTTAGTTTTTTTTTTCCTTCTTCCTATTTATTCGGTTGTATTGGCAGAAATCGAAAATGACGATAGTAAATACAAAAAAAAGTGAATTGACATTTTGCCCACCCATGTTTTAGGGCTGGTTCAGTCACTGTATGAAATTCCACCGTCATAAAACCTCCCTTGTATGATGAGAACATAATTTTCTGTTTATATTTTTTTTGCACGGGCGGAGGTTTGATGCAACATTTTTTAGAGTATAAAGGGACGCCATATAAATTTTAAAATAAAGTAGAAATTTAAGTTGAGTTTCGAAATCACATAAGGGTTTAATATAATATTTTTTAAAGTATAAAAGGATGTCATTCAATTTTTTTTAAATAAAAAAAAAAAATTACGCTGAGTTTTATAACTATAGCAAAAAATTTTGCCTATTGTTTTTATTATTTTAATTTAAGACTTGACTTGGTAAATGGTAGTAATATATATAGTGGAATGAGTACGCATGCATTGTCATTTAATTGTCAATAAAGTGAATCTTTTTCGAACAACAGCGTAACCTGCTGCCACTAATCATATAATCACTGCTGTGGTGATGTTTTTGTGTTAATGTGTCCTAAACCGAGTAAAGGGATAACTTAACTTTGACTTTTTTTTGTTATATTTTTCTCACCCTTTTTTTTTTTACTTTTTAATTTTTTGGCTATCATTTCCTCAACAACTACGAGTTTGGTAGCATGTTTAGTTATAAGTTGACATTTCTAAAAGGAAATTTTAACTATTTTTTTTTTTTCAAATTTGTTTAAAATGAGATTTATTTATAATTGTTTATCCCGTTATTAAATACTTATATAGTTATATTTTTATTTATTTTTTATAAATCATTTTATGTTAATTATGAATAAATATATGTAAAGTTTTTATTATATCTATATTATATATAAAAAAAACTGTAAAATAATATTAATATTGAATATATTTTAATTGAAATAAAATTTTAAAAATATAATTATTTTATCAAAGATGGTGACCTACTAAACACTGTCTCTTTTTGTTTTTTTATCTGTGGTATAAGCAGGGACTCAGGCGAAGAAGTACTCCACCAAGATTAGCAATTCAACTAAAAAATGCCTAAAATGCAAATTCAAAACACGATCGGGTAAACTATTTTATTTTATCCCGTAGCTGACCCTTTGTCATTTTAGTTCCGTAAGTGAAGCCTGTCACAAACTAGTGTTATAAGTGAAAATTTTTCGCTCTTTTAGTCCTCCGGCGCCGGAGACGCCCGCGTGGCTCGTCAGAGGCCACGTGTCCGCCAGGTCAGCGACACCTAACGAACACGTGGATTATATTTTTTAATTCTTTTTTTAATTTATTTATTTTGTCCAATTTAAAAAAAAAAAATAAAAAAAATTAAATCCACGTGTCCGCCAGGTGTCGCTGACCTGGCGGACACATGGCTTCCGGCAAGCCACGCGAGCGTTTCCGGCGCCGGAGGACTAAAACAACGAAAATTTTCCACTTATGAGATGATATGTTCTACTTACACTTACGACACTAAAATGATAAAGGAGTCTAGTTACGGGAGTAAAAAAACAGTTTACCCAAACACAAACTATGGTAATTATATTTCGGGTAATAGCACCAACATTTTCATAAGCTATGTTTTGGTATGGACAAGGCTTAGATTAAGAGTTAAAATTACATGTTATGTTTTAGTCTAAAACTTCTCAAATAATTTTTTTATGTTTTGGTATGGACAAGGCTTAGATTAAGAGTTAAAATTACATGTTATGTTTTAGTCTAAAACTTCTCAAATAATTTTTTTTTTTTTTTCTTTTTATGTTATTCGATGAGTGTCGGGTCAATTTTTTTTTTTTTTTTTTTTTTTTTTTTTAAAAAAAAACAAAAATCACATTAATAGAAGATTCAAGCAGAAGTACACGTTAGTTAATGAATTCATGAGGCAAGAACTTAATTTTCTAACAACTAAATTACACATTTAAAATATATGAATCACAAGTGTTTTTCCTAAGGAAGTTGGATTTAGGCGAAGTGACTTAGGGGGGTGTGTGTGTTTGGGAATTGGATTTTAAATACACTATTATTTCATTTTTTTCCTCTAAAAAACATCAAATTAAATACTTATTTTTTATTTTTTATATTATACTAAAATTCAATTTTATATTCAAAATATCACATCAACACCTATTTATATCACATCATACAACTATTCAAATTCAAAATTTTTAGGATAAACTGTTTTTTTAGTCCCGTAACTAGACCTTCTTATCATTTTAGTCTCGTAAGTGGAGCCTGTCGTAAACTAGTCCCATAAGTGAAAAAATTTCGTTGTTTTAGTCCTCCGGTGCCGGAGATGCGGTGTCGCTAACCTGGCGGATACGTGGATTTTTATTTTTTTTTCATTTTTTTAAATTTTTTTTATAACTTAATTTTAATTTATTTTTAATTTTATTTGTATTTTTTAAATTTTTTTTATTTGGTCCAATTAAAAAAATTTTAAAAAATAAAAAATAAATAAATAAATCAACGTGTCTGCCAAGTGTCGCTGACCTGGCGGGACACGTCACATCCGGCGAGCCACGCGGGCGTCTCCGGCGCCGAAGGACTAAAACAGCAAAAAGTTTTCACTTATGGGACTAGTTTGCGACAGGCTCTACTTACGGGACTAAAATGATAAAGGGGTCCAGTTACGGGACTAAAAAAACAGTTTACTCAAATCTTTACTATTCATATCCTAACTTAAAATTCAAACCCCAGACAAACACGAACTTCACAGGTACAGTGGGAGTGTTTAGGAATGAAGATAGGATTTGAAAATCAAAAGGGATGTAAAAGAGAGAGAATTTTTGTGATATATGTATAGGATTAATCATTTGTTTGGGGATTAGATTTTAAATACACTATTCATCTCATTTTTCTCCAAAAAAAAATATCAAATCAAACACCTATTTTTCTATTTTTTATATTATATTAAAAATCAATTTTATATTCAAAACATCACATCAAACACCTATTTATATCACATCATACAACTATTCAAATTCAAACTTTTTACTATTCAAATCTCAACTTGAAATTCAAACTCCCAAACAAACACAACCTGAAAGTATTCCATGAAATGAAGGCATACGATTCCCGCTTCACGAGATACTTCATGTGCGTATGGTTACCGATTGAATTATTGAGTTGAAAATTGGGTTGTGAGTGATTTATTTAATTGATACTTGATTTATGATATAATATATATAAGATTAAAAAATTGAAAATATATGTTTAATTATTTTAATAATTATATTTTAATAAAATATATAAAATATGAATATCATTTTATAAAGAATAAAATTTTATATAAAAAATAAATAAAAAATATAAATTTTTATTGATGATTAATATAAATTAATTTGCAAATAAATAGAGAGTTTTGAATGAATATAAATATTTTTGTTTATCAAAAAGAGAGATAAAAATAAAAAATTTTGAATGAATTTTGAGTAGGTCTCATATGATGTAATATTTAAAAAAAAATTAAGAGCATAGTGCCAAAGAAGCCAATCAAACAAGAACCAAATAAGAGCATGCTTAATACCTGCAAATTACCGACGGGAAAGTCACACTAAGTGACTATATGTTCACTATTTTTTGTAAGTTGGATTGAGTGCTTCGGAACACTTTTGTTGACATCTTTTTAGTCTATAAAGTTGAATGTCTAGCAATCTCATTTAATCAACATTAATGTGTACTTATCAAGGCTCTCGTGATAAACTTTTCAAAGTATTTATCTTATTTATATGTTAGTCATAAGAATTTGCAAGATAGAGAGTAATGATATTTCATTAAGCCTATCTTCAACTCATCAACTTCTTTTTATCTAATTTTAACTATAAATATGCAGTTGCTACAATAATTTTATTCCAATAATAAGTTCATTTTTCACTATTATTTTTCAAATATTCAATTTTTTATATTATTTTAAACAATTTTTTATTTTTATAATTTAAAATAATTTTTTTAAAAAATTTTTAAAAAAACTAAAAAATATCTTTAAAAGTTAAAATAAAAAATTTAAAGAATTAAAAAAAAAAAGCAACGACACTTTTTTGACGTTGCACAGGAATCAACCAACCCAGCGCTGGTTGGAGATGCTCTAAGACAATAAACTACAACTACATTTAAAAAGCAATAAATTTATCAAGTGTTGGAATTGAAAATGCAATTGAGAGTTGGGCATGTGATATCATGAGTGGTGTCATTCTTTAAAATAATCTGCTTAGAGTCCGCACTATTTGAGATTTTGGAATACAAAATGAGTATATAAATGAATGAATCTATAATCAAAGATGTATGAATGTTACAAACAACACACATGTACCCTTTCTTTTTTCTTTTTCTTTTTTTTTTTTTATAAAATAGGAAT